TATAACAGGCAGAAGGCAGCAAAAGCAGCAAGCAACAAGCAATAAGCAGTAACAACAGTGGCCTGCTTTCTGTCTGTTATGTTCTATCCAGGCTACCCACCCTTAGGACAGGTAGCATTTACACCCGGGGTGGGGTGGGGGACGACACTTACTCCTAGCATGAGTCAATCCTGGCATCACATCCTTAGTCTGAGCATCACACACTCTAGATAAAGCCACCTCTGAAAAATGTGTATGACCACATGAGGCTTTGCGGAGACATCTAGATACCAGCCGTACAAATCCCTAACAAATTAACTGGAAACCATGCCACATTTCAAATGGACAAATGTTCTTTGACCCTGGTTAAATTGAAAAAAAATATATATAGAACAACAATAAACTGGGCTTCTACTAAATCAGAATCCTCTATGCTGCTGAGCTGTACTGTGAAAGTTGGAAATTGTAGCCTTAGAAGGAGATCCTGAGCAGTGTTCACAGTGACATTTGGTCCATAATATTTTATTAATGCAGCCATGTACAAGTCTCCACAATTGAATCACCCATCAACTTAGAAATTAACCATTCATTGTGCTGTTGTGCCTTTGTTTAGCATTCATTCACAAATATTTTTAGGCTATAACATCTTCAGCACACAGGGTGAATGCCCTGTAGACATAGAAGGGCATCATCTACATATAGGGAGATAAGAGGCATTATGTCTTGCGTCTGGATGTACCCCCAAAGCCTCATGGGGTCATAGGTGGGCCTTTCCAGAGGTGGCTAAATCTAGAGTGTGTGATACTGGGATTAAGAGTGGGTGATAAATAAATCAGTCCACTGATCGGTTTGGCACCACCCTAATCCCAGTGACCTGGGTACAAGATAAGGGACAGAAAGAGGCTTTTACTATCTTTGCCCCCATGAACTGGTCTCCTCTGTGATGCCCCTCTGCCATGTGCCACCCTGCCTTGGAGCCAGCCAATTCCAGACCGAAGCCTCTACAATCTGAGAGCTAAATAAATCCTTCCTTCCTTTAACTTTAGGAAGGAAGTTGCCTGGTATTTTGTCTCAGCAATGAGAAAAGTAATTAAGAGGCAAGTAAGCAATGTCATCCCAGCATATATGGGGACTCTATGTTCATGTTCTCACTGGCTTCTTGGAAAACAAAGACTGTATCATAAGGGAGAAACAGTCACGTTTTCCTGAAGGGGAGCTAGGAGTGCATTCTAAGCACCAGTGTCAAGGCCCAGATACTGAATCGAGTCTTTTTCGGATGAAAGCACAAGGGATTATTTATGATTAAGATCTGTCATCAGTTATCAAACAAATGCAAAATAAAAATAAGGCAACATTTTTCACTGATAACATTAATTATAATTAAAATTTGCAGATCATTTTCTGGAGTTGTGAGGAACGAGGTATGACTTTGCTTGAGAAACAACTAGAAATGTAGCCCTCATATTGTCATGTCCTTGAAGATAAAAAAAATGCCCTTTTTAATATAATGTGGTGAAATAAAAACAACTTTGTTACATAAGTTTATAAAATGGAAAAAGTTCAAAACCTAGATGACTAGTATTAGAGAATTAAATCATGCTATGTCCATATAACAGAATTGTAATGGGAAGAATATTTAATAATTTAGAAAATATCCAGAGCAAGTGAAGACTGTGATCTAATTTTGGTTTTTAAAATACTTTATAATTAAAATCTGAAAATCTAAAAATATATTCATCAAGATATTAGTCAATGGTGGTTCTGTGAGTTCTAAATTGAAGAGCAATGTGTGTTTTTTATCTGTCATTTCTAAACTTTCTATAAAAACATATATCACCATAAATACTAGAAAAATATGAAAATCATTGATATAGGCAGTAAAAAGAGAGGTTAGATGAGTGCAAGCTGGTGTTTCCCCATGGCTCACAGTAACAGTTCAGATTTTCCTGCATGGCTTGTTTCCTGCCGACCACTCCAGTCTCACCATCTTCCGGCAGCTCTGTCAGCTCTGTTTATTCAAGTCCCCACGACTCTTGCCAGTTGCCTTCTACCACAGGCCCTTAATCCAACCCTTACAGGCATATTATTTGCCATTGTTCAGTCTTGCATCCTTCCTTGTAAGAGAATTGCATTCGTACCCACTGCCATGTGGCCCACCACGCTCCCAGTGGAGGTAACCACACAACCCTGTTCCACTGGCTCTGGGTTTTGAGCAAAGAAGTTAAAAGCAGACATGACAGAGGCCACACCTAAGCAGGACAAACTTCCACTGTGTTTGTCTTTCTTGCTGCCCTAAGAATAACATGTGCCTCTTAGGGAATGTCCCTTCAGCCTGAGCCCCTCACTGAGAAGCACAACCATGATCCGAGCAGAGCTATAGGCATCCCACAGTCTCTCTGTAACAAACGTCTGTGGTGGAAACCATGGAGATTTGGAGATTCTTTGTTATTTCAATAAAACTGACTACTACACATGTCCCACAGTGTTCATCTGGAAATTTAAGATGTCATCCGAACTACTTCACAGTGAACTCTATCCCAATTCCACCTTCACCCTTTGACCAGGTCAAATCCTTTCTCACATACTTTCATAGCACTGGGGAGCACTCCTTAACATTTACTACAGTCATAATTTCACAACTTTTGTATCAGTCACAATAGGCTGTACTTACTGACTCCTTGATGGCCAGTATGGTGGCTATGCTTTTTTCCTGCTGAATTCCCGGCAGTTAGCACAGTTTGTGGCACATGGTACATCCTTAACCAAAAATAAGTAAATTAATACATAAAGAAAAACATGGATAAACTAATCACCTTGAGAAAAGGATTGAGATGCACATATCTGGTGAACCAAGCAGTTGAGAACCATTAGTGATCTTTAGGTGAGGAAATATTAGGAGTCCTTCACAGTGAAAATACACATATATAGTAATAAGACCCAGGACCTCATAAATAATGATTATTTAAGCCTTTCAATTAGGAGCCCTCATCTATATCAGTTCACGCTATTCTAGTAACCGCTCTTTGATGGAAATACTGTTATTATTCCCCAGGGAGGGTAAGCACTTTGACAAAACCACTTGTCAGTGAACTAGCAGAGGAACCAAGTATAGAATGCAAGAAGTCTGGTGTCACAGTTTGTGTTTATAACCACTAGGCTATGCTGGCATTAAGTTATTTGAGCAGTGGCAATGCCAGAGAAAATCCTGTGGAACTCAGAGGTGAGGCAAGAAAACATTTAATATTAAGTTCCTTATTGCATTACGCAGGCTCCTCAGAGCTATTGATGGGTAGGGCTGGGCATCTTTAAGAGAGCATTTTCCCTTGGGTGTATATGAATTTAAATGTGGATTTTCCCATATGACTCTTAACATTTGCTTGACCTTCTGTGCCTTTTATCTAACTCACTGATAAAACTTGTAGTTTAACTGGGTCCCCTTCATACCCTAGATAGTGCCTCACATTCTCTCCTACATATTTTGGTAATATAACTTAGTAAATGTGTTTTAAATCAAATGGACCCTGTATTTCTTGTCTTACAAGTAAATGATGTGGCTAACCAGTCCTGTGAGATCAAGTTGCCTGAATAATTTCATCTGGAGGAGCTGGTAGGATGTAAGCATGCCATTCTGGACTTAATTTTTCTTAAAAAATATGAAACCTAAACACAGTCTTGGAACTGATGTACCTGGTTCTTCTGCAGAAGTGTGAGAGCCTGGAGGGTGACTGGCAGGAGGGCATTTGGCTTGGACATGTGAGCAGATCCCCTAGAAGTAACAGCAGGGTGAGGCTTGGGCCTCAGGTGGAGAAAAAGCAGGATCAGAGCACAGTGTCTGCGCAGGTGCAATAAGGGTTCAGGGACATCACTTCCAAGGCCTCTGATGGCTGATATCTGTGAGGCTAAGATGCTCTACTTGGACAAAGCTCATTTGAGAGTTAAAGGAGAATGAAAACATTGAAGTCAGCTGAAAAATTCTGAGGGTCAGGGGTAGAAAAACAAGTTGGAAGCAATGGGGAACACCCAATCCCCAGCTAAATCTTAAAGGAACCCAGAACTGTGAAACAGCAAATAGAAGCCTTAGAGCTAATCTCAGGCAGTATTCCTGCAAGGTACAAGGGACAAAGAAAAAGACCACTCACCAAGATTCCCATATTCTGACCCTTCCTGGAATCTCGAGTTCAAAGCAGAGACCTGTATTTTCAATAACTTAGTTCATTTCTGTAAGTTCTAAATTCTGGCAATTTCTAATCAGGAAAGGGTAATATTATTTTGCCAAAGTTAGAAATAAAATCCCAAATTCTTAGATTTGGGGGCCTGGCCAATTTCTGTCATTTTTCAAAGATAATTTAGCTCCCTATTTTTAAGGCCACCTGTAGAGTCAATGAAACATCTGAATTAGTGACTAATTGTATTTTAATAATAGACTTGCAGTGAATTGTTAAAGTCTCCTTGCTGATTTACTCAGTACTCTACAGAGCAAAGCACGGAGTCTCCTTTGGACCTGGTGAGATTTTGACTTTGTTACTTTAGTTTTCTCTAAGAATAAATGTAGCTACCGCATCTTCCATGATAAAAGTTGAGGTTCTAAAGTAAAGATGCACTGTGGACAAAGCTTAGGCACTAGAGTACCTCCTTAACCTGGAACAAAATCAACTTGTTGCAGCAGCGAGGTACAGATACCCATCTCCTGGTATCTGGGTTACCCATCCCTACAACTTTCTATTCAAGATCCAAATCATTGCTCTTCTCCATTTTTCCCTTGGTCTGACCCAGGTCCCAAATTCTGCTTGTAACCAAAGCACTCTCTCAAAATAGACTGCAGAAGCCGGAATCTGGCTGGTGGAGAACTGGGACCAAGCAGGCACCAGCCAGCAGCAGCAGCACATAAGCAGCCTCTCTAGGGCATGTGACCTGGTCAGGCCAGTCCCGCCAGGAGCCAAATAGGGAGAGCAGGAGGAGGGTGGGGATCCTTGGAACAGAGCCTAGAGTGAATGGGGAGGGCGGGACTAAGCATGTTGCTGCAGTAGGCCGTAAGAGGAGGAAATCAGGGTGGAGGAATGTGTTCAGGTGTATGAAATTGAAGGCTGAGCTTCAAGCAGTCGTTCGTGCTGCGCTCCAGCCAGAGATACAAAGAAAGTTCTCCGTGTCACTGCCCTTTGGTGGGATAACTGAGGGCGGTAGCAGCCCAGCCTTCCTCCTCAGTGCCCCACCAGAATAAGAGCACCATCCATGGAGTGCTGACTTTCTCTGCCGTAGCTGTGGAGCCTGCAGCCAGGAGGGAGGAGGTAAGCACCTTGCTAGATGCTGAGATTGCAGGTTGGTTGTTGTCCTCAGCTGTCCTCACTGCTTACTGGCCTCAGGCCTAGATGTCACTTCAAAGGGAGTCTTTGAGACTGCTCTTGACCCCAGTACCCCGGGTAGCTGTCTACCATGAGCCCCTACAGCTCCAGGCCCCAGGAAGCCTCAGTCCCCTGTCTATCTGGGAAACTTTTTTTGTAAAGAGCAGACCGGACTTTTGGGTGACTGGCTTATGAGAGCTGATGGTGATGCTCCCTGTGGTCCTGGCTCCTTCCTCTCACTGATGAGTAGGCAGCCTTTGCTTTTGCTGCCTCCTGCTTTGAGATGTTACCTGCATGGAGAGGCTGTATACGTGTTGGTCATTACTTGTAGTAGGGTTTCTATCAAAAGTTTACTAAGCTATTAAGTAGCATTTTGAAAGAAATAAACATGTGTAAGGAAAGAATAAGTTTTTTAAATGATAGTGTGGAATAAAAATATAGTAGTACTTAGAGCTTAATAAAAATCATGATTTATAAAGCATGACTGTGAACTTTATGTAGTGGTAAAAGAACACAATGCAGGGTGTTATTATTGTTTATAATTACTGGCAAGGATGGTAAGATTCAGTGTGGCTGAAGCGAATCAGGTTCACTGATCTCGAGTCCCCGGTCTGGGTTTAGGCCGTGTTTAACCTGGTCTTTCAGATTCAATGCACAGAGCTGCTGTGGCATAATTTAGATTTGTTAACAGACTTTCACTAGGAAGACAAAGCTGACAGCCTCCATCTCCGGCTGTGATGCTCCCGAAATAATTCAGAGCTCTTGACCCCGGCTTCCATTGCGTCTTCTAGTGGGCTCTGAGACAATTAACAGCACACGGTCAGCAGCGTGTCATTCACGTGGTTTGTGTCATTAAGAATTTAGAGGCTGCAGCTGAGGAACAAAGAAAATCCTGCAAGAGCTAGGACTGGGTGTAGAAGAGGGAAAGAAATGTACTTAAGAAAGGGAAACCTGAACACTGGGCCACTTCAAATCAATCCATACCATGGTTCACTAGACTGCTCATGACTCCATGGTTAATCCACAGCCCAACCTCATCTGATATCTGGTTCCTGAGCTCACAGTGAGCCAGTAACATTGGCTGTCCCTGTCCTTCTCCCCCTCTAGCCCTTTGCTTGAAATTTTCTCTGTGCCTAGAATAATTTTCCCTTGATTATTCCTATAACAGGCTTCCTCTCTTCCATAAGATTTTGGCTCCAATCTAAAATATTTCCTCACTGCACTTACTTTCCCTTACTGTAGTAATTGTTTTCATAATTCTTACCACAGTCTGGTCAGTTTGTCCCGTTTACTTTTTATCTCCCTCACTAGCTTGTAAGCAGAGAAAGATGGAGATCTTCCATTTTGTCTTCAGCCTATCGGACAAAAGTAGGCTCTCAGAGCTTCATGGAGTTCCTTTTAATGGTAGAGACTCAGATAACCTCTGTTGTATGAATGAATAGTGGAAAGGAATAGAAAGTATGACCACTAGTTTGCCTTCCTCCCGTTCATCTTCTCCACCCATGGGAACAAACACGTCAGATTGAAATCTGAAGTAAAGTACATCTGCATTTTCAAGATCTCAAGGGGGATCAATTTCATTCTTGAGTAACATTTTAAAAAAAAAAAGAAGGCTAAAAGGCATCAAGTGGAATTTGTGGCCTGAGAAACGGCCATGCATTGTAAGACTGGTTCTGCTGAGCAGTCTGGATAAGCAGCACTGCCTGTGACTTTCCCACATTTGCCCTTCTAGGCAAGAGAAAGGTGTTGATCTTGGCAATGCCTGGGTGCATGTCATGCTAGTACAACTTCTGGAAGCTTGAAGGTGCATCCTTCTAGTCCTGCTTTGCTGATCTAACCACTTAAATTTCACCAAACTTGCTCACATGCCACTTGATGATTTGGATGTTGTTTTAAAGATGGAAAGAGACTCCTATAAGAGGCCAGAGGATCCAGGGACTTTCTGAGAACTACAATATTTCCTGCAAGTGTAGACAAGTTCTTTGGCCTCTGCCCCTCATATGTTTCTGCACAATCATGTGATAACCTTACTCTCTGTAGTAAGGTTTCAGTGAGATATACGTGCAGTACCAGTTTTTTGTGAAGTATTTAGGGTGACGGTGACCACACACCTGCCTAAGGAATTGACTTTGTTTAATTAATACTCAGCATACTAGTTTTGCAGAGAGCACTATGCGATTCCAGCCTAGTGATACTTTCTCAACCACACAGCATCTGGCAGTATTTCACACGCTGGTGGTTTTTATGGGTCCCTCCCTGCACTTGTGTGTTCTTCACTGTAATGGGTGTTAAGCCTTTCTGGCATCAGCTTTGTCCTTTGATTTAAAAGATGTCTGGTTTTATATCTGATCCTCAGATTCTAGTACTGCTTTTGAGGTGATCCTTACCCAGTTCTATTCACTGATGTCATTGGCATTTTTTAAAAGGAAATAAATTTTTGAACTGGGAGCAAAATAAGAGACTTGTCGATCTTTTGTGGGAGGGGGAGCCTCACAAGAAATGATCTAGCATGGAAAGAGAATTGTACTAAGTATTTAGAGATCTGGGCTTGAATCCTGACCACACTTCTCAGTGATAGTTCTGGAGTGATGGTGGACATAACAGCAGTACTGGCAGAGAAGTTTGAAAATATAGTAACTTCTAAGAGCTCCCTTTGTATAATCTCATCCAGAGTTCATTATTATCTGTTTTTGGAAATAAGGAATGTGAAATTTGGAGGGCACAGTGTCACCAGAGTAATAAATGACAGCATCTAGCTTTGAATACCCACTGGTTGATAAAGAGCATGTGCTCTTCTCACACTTTTCTACCTAGCAGATGCACTGCATTCTGTGCCCATAGACTACCCTGACTTCTTCTTTTACACCTGAGTTGATTTGGCCTGTTCCTCCGCCTAGGATGTCATCTAATAATGATGCCTAAGGAAGTTCTTGGAAGCTGGAGTTTTATTTCATCATGGCCCATTTGTCTTGTTTATCAAGATTTAGAAAAAAATATAGTGTTTTTCTCCCAAGGTAACTTTGCGGTCTTTAAAGAAATTGACAAATGCTTTTATAAAGAAAACAAAATGGCACATCTTGTCAAAGGGGAACATGAAATGAATCATAACCTAAAATATAAAATATTTGAGGCAGAACTGTTTCAAGTTCTTTAAACTTTTTTGTAGAATTTGCAGGTATCACATGCTATATAAAGGACCAGTAATAATACAGTGGACCCTCAAGTTATGAGCGGCCTGACACACAAACAATTTGGGTTATTTTAGCTTGTGGACAAAGTCTTGAGTTATGACCTGAACGCTGGCCACATGTTCTTTCAGATAGTTTCAGGTACAGTTTTAACCCTTAAAGAGTTCTAGAGGGAACATTAGAACAGTGTCTCTCAAAAGACACTGAGATCTGCCTGAAAGAAAGTGTAACCTAAAATTATACAGGAGAAAGACTTAGAAAGGAGTTGACCACCTTGAGTTACAACCAGCCCTCTGGAACAGATTGAGTTCATGGGTCCACTGTACAATAGCCAGCACTTATTAACTTGTTTCATACCTGGCCCTGGTAAAAGAATTTCTCTCAGATTACTTGATGTCCAGAAGACTATTAGTTTGGGTTAAGGGCATGGGTTCATGGTTTCCACTGCCTGGCATTATGAATTGTTAGTTGTATGCTTTTAGACCAGTTTGTCAGCTGTTCTGTTTTTCAACTTCCTGTCTGCAAGTTAGGATGATAATGAATCTATCCCCAAGTGCTTAAGCAGTGCCTGGTAAGTATAAGCTCAGAAATGTTATTGCTTCTGCTACTTCCCTTCTCGGTTCTTCTATGCACTAGTTCTTCTCATCTCCATTCTGTGCATGTAAGAACCAATAAATAGGTTACACAGCTACAATTAGGCATTGACTCCCCAGCTATTTTAATCCAGATTCTGCCCTTTTCAATGTCATTTCAATAAATGCCCCCAGAAAACATAAATTTCTCTGGGGATCCAGTTTGAGAAGACTTGGTACTCCATACCCCAACCAGCGTTCCCCCATGCATGGATCTACAGGTATTTATTGGCCTCCCGCTATCTTCAGGCTGAACGGTAAAGTACGTGGTTGAAAAGTTCTGTGTCTAGGATTTCACTAAACCTGCCTGAACTTTCTCCTCTGTTTAGAACCCTCCTCAGAGGCAACCAGCCTAGCCTTGGGTTGATAAGATTGCTTTTTAGAAGCAATCAATAGACCATTGGGCCTGAACATTGAAAGAGCTCCTTTAGGCTCTGTAAAAATATTATCCTAAATGTTGGCTAGAATTTATGGACATGAAATGCCATTCCTGAGCAAAACCAGTGTCGAGAAAAGTGGCAAGAAGAAATCATGCTGAGGACTTTGTTGGGCTGGTAAAGACAGTTAACACTGCTGTGCGATCTATAGCTGGGACAGCTAGGCAGACAGAGTTGTTCCACTGGCTCGCTTTCCCCTGTGTTTGTCCTTGCTTCCACTATGATGCCTGCAGACAAGTATGACTGAAAAGGAGATATTCTTCTGCTGTCTGCAAAGGGCAAGCAGATGCCAAGTGCTTTTCAAGTGCTAACTGTAATTAATAATATCTCCCTTTTACTGAATAGTTGCTACATGAAAATGTACTTTTTAATTAGTTCATGCAATCCTCATACCACCACACTCTGGAGTAGGTTGTAGTGTTCACTCTGTTTAGGGCTGAGGCAGGTGAAGTTCAGGGAGCACCTGAACTCAGTTAAGATCTCGGGCTGAGCGGGCCAACACTAGTTCTTAAACCCAAGCCTGTGCTGCTCTTCACCTCTCCCCGCAATTCCTCTCACCTGTGTTACCCTCAGCAAATTGTCTGATAACAAACTGCAGATTAATCTTGGAAAAACCTGCCCTGCTAGGCCACCCCACAGGGGATGTGGACAAACCTGACTCACCTGTTTCCTGAGTCATTTCCACCCCT